CCTAAGTCCTTGAACCGAGACACTCAAGTTTGTATATAAACTTTAGTGCAGATTGTCTTGCATACACAATACCCAGCTCAGATAGAGCGAGCAGCTTTTTAAAAATATGAATCAAAGATGTAACTACATTTACCTACATTATTAAGTAAATTAAATCATGGCAGTTGTAGGAAGCAAAAAGGTAAATCCGGGTGGAAATTTGCAACGTCAAAAGGGTTGCCTAGGTCTACAAATGGTTTAATCCACCCATGGTTAGTAGACTAGAAAAACCAACATTTAGAGGAGCAGGGTCTGCTGTCTGAACAACTGAAGAGATGAACAAGTGTTTTCATAAAAGTCAGATAACTTTATATGGTGATCTGCCATGGCAAACCCACTAGCCACTAATATCCTCGATTGTTATGTATCTACAATGACAAAAGAACTACTCGAAATATCCAACCCATTTACATGTAAGTATGAACTGTGCCTTCAGAAATTCTCTCAAGGCAACCTTGTATAAATACAAATAGAATGGCTTGTGCAATATAGCGCAGGCAGGCACTTAAAACAGGATATCTTCTTAAGCCTTTAAAATGCCAAGCAAGAAATGTGCATATAAAACTTTGCATGTAATATAGGGCACCACAACACCAGGATTCAAAATGTAAAGTTACCATTTAGTTACCATTTAGAGGTAAATATATTACCATATGTAAAAATGAAAAAGAAAGGTCATAGTATAGAACTTTAATACAAAAAGTTAAAAGACAAAGTGAACACTCACAAACACTGTGATACATATAAAGTGAATGTGCATAAAAAGCTTTTACCAACTAGGGCACAATCCCACCGTCTTGGCTGGAGGATGCCCGCCTCTCCAGGCTCAAAGTACAAAGTCCCAGAGTCCAATATAGCAGATCTGCATCTTCTTCAAGTGCTGGCCATCTCGTAGGATCCTCTCCTCAATGGGTTTCTTCTTTTATCTGACTGCTTTAGGAGCTCAGTGAGTGAAACCTGTATAGCACTCCGGGGAGAGATGAACCTGCTACATGACGTCATGTTTATCATCTGTAAATTGTAGAAAGTGAGTCATGATCAGCAATGCATTTTTTTGTGTGAGTGCAACAATATTTTTCTTATTTATAATAATGGTCCTTCTGTTCATTCTAACCTAACCCACCCTTGCTGTGTTCCCTCTATTCCATTACTATCTTCTTCCTTGACACTTCTTTCTCTTTATTTTTTTTTTAATTTTACTGACATCCAGCCACCACCCACATTTTCATTCTTAAATTTTCATCTCCTATATTTTATGTTTAATTTCACATTTTAATTTTCTGCTGCACTGTGATGCTGTGTTCTTCTAACTTCTTTCTGAGTGTTTTTTCATTTACTAATATCCATGGCTGGAGAATTTCATGATACCCTAGCTCTTAACTTTTTATGGACAACATGAAAACAAAGGAGCCTCCATATCCGTTGTCCTTACTACAGATAATCCAAAATATAGCAGTCAGAAGCAGTAAAGCCAAAATACATTTTTACCAACTTTAGAAACTAAAACAACATCAACATCAATGCTTTTTGCTAGTTGAAAAAGCAAAACAAAATTTTAGAATGCATCATACCCTAAAAGGAAGCGGTCCATAATGCTTGAAGGAACACTATAGGGTCAGGAACACAAACATGTATTCCTGACCCTATGGTGTTAAAACCACCATCTAGCCCCCCTGGAGCCCCTCATGCCTCCCTTAATAAAGCAAAATCTTACTTGTATTCAAGCTGTAACTCTGCATGCTGTTTGCCTCAGAATAACAAGCTGTCTGCTGACATCATCAGAAGTGGTTGCCTGATCCAATCACAGTGCTTCTCAATAGGATTGGCTGAGACTGACAAGGAGACATCCCTGGCCAATCAGCATCTCCTCATAGAGATGTACTGAATCAATGCATCTCTATGAGGAAAGTTCAGTGTCTGCATGCAGAGGGAGGAGACACTGAATGTTTGGATGCATTTTAGGCAGCCATGACCCAGGAACGATCTCTAGCAGCCATCTAAGGAGTGGCCAGTGAAGTTATCACTAGGTTGTAATGTAAACACTGCATTTTCTCTGAAAAGACAGTGTTTACAGCAAAAAGCCTGAAGGTAATGATTCTACTCACCAGAACAAATGCAATAAGCTGTAGTGGTTCTTGTGACTATAGTGTCCCTTTAAAGGAGATGATCACATTTATTACACACAACAGACAAATCTGGTGCAATAACATAGAACTCAATAAAGTAAAAAAAAAAAAGAAAAATAAAGAGGAGGTAAACATGTCCTCTATAAAGGGAGCTCAATAATCGATTGATTATTTACCATGTACTAAAAAATGGACATGATGTTGTACCAGGAATATGCACAGCACGCTAACCACAAACCCTTTTGTTTCTTCTCACTCTCCACATGACAATGAGATTGCCCTGTTAGTCCATTATAAATAATGAGATTTCTGGGAACCATATGATATAGTGATGCTGTATCTCAGCTCTCTCTGTCAAAAGAACCTGTACATAGCACTACAAAACTCCCTTTCAACTACCACCATGGACAATGAAGGGCACCATCTATTGTAGGCAGTATCAGTCCCTTTACCTGGTTTCTGCATTTTATGTTGGTTGAAGATTAGCTTGATCGACTTACCTGTTTAATATTGGAATATTAGGAGACATTGAAGTTACATGTATGCTGCTGTATTAGCTGTCACACCTTTAACACTATGCCCCTTTGAGCATTTCTTTTGGTTTGGTCTGCTTTTATTTATTTATTATTTTTATTTTTTTTAATTGTTAGTGAATCAAATATGGGGTATGCACTTGGCAGGAAGGAGGACAATATTGTTTTGTTTTCTTTTATTAAAGGACCACTCTAGGCACCCAGACCACTTCAGCTTAATGAAGTGGTCTGGGTGCCAGGTCCAGCTAGGATTAACCCATTTTTTTAATAAACATAGCAGTTTCAGAGAAACTGCTATGTTTACAAATGGGTTAATCCTTCCTCCAATTCCTCTAGCGGCTGTCTCATTGACAGCTGCTAGAGGCGCTTGCGTGATTCTCACTGTGAAAATCACAGTGAGAGCACACAAGCGTCCATAGGAAAGCATTGTAAATGCTTTCCTATGCGACCGGCTGAATGCGCGCGCAGCTCTTGCCGCGCGTGCGCATTCAGCCGACGGGGAGGAGAGGAGGAGGAGAGCTCCCCGCCCGGTGCTGGAAAAAGTTACGTTTTTATCCCTTTCCTCTCCGCAGAGTTGGGCGGGAGGGGGACCCTGAGGGTGGGGGCACCCTCAGGGCACTGTAGTGCCAGGGAAATGAGTATGTTTTCCTGGCACTATAGTGTTCCTTTAATACTCTGAATTCTGCATCTACTGAATATGATCTGCAAGCAGGTGAAATAACTCTGTGGTTAGTGCACCAACTGCACTTTCTTTGGTTTAAACTTTGGGCTAGTAAAGTTCTTTCAAGGTTGATGAAGTGATAAGTATTGAGCTTGGTAGAAATAATACGCCAAACCCAGGGATATGCATCTATAAAATCATATATGTAATGTAATTCATTTTTATTATATGTGGATGGTTTCCTCACCTTACTAAGTATCCTATATGCACATTCCTTATTGGAACTTTGTTCATCTCCCAAATAAAGAAGAGGAGCTGGTTATTTGAGTTCAAATTACACAAAAATGCAATGCAGCTTTTATGTTTCTGTATTACTGAAGTAAATCTATGGGCATCTGTTCTAGTGATTTAAGCTGGTGATTGTAATGTGGCCCGCCGCCCTCAAAGGTAAACAAAAATGCCCTCAGAAGACAGCAGCGATATAGATTAAGGCTCTTATAGTCACGTGATATATTAATCCCTGCTAGAATGGATGAGATTGACTGCAGAATACTGAATCCATCTAATTCTCATATATTTTCATTCTGAGAACATACTACAGGAAACAAGTTAAAGGTTTATTGCATCTCAAGTGCCTGTTCAAATGAGTGTGAGTTACTTACAATAATGTTTAACAGTGAATATCAAATCAGATAATCTAATCTTATTTCACAGCTACCAGTACACATTTGCTTTAGACATGCAGAGATGCCAGTAAGGATTGCTACACTGTAGACAGTTTCTTTGCAGCTTTTCCTTCCTTTATACAATATAGCAGAAGGTTAAATAAAAGTAAATGCCATTTAAAATAGCTAATATTAAAAAAAAAAATCTGTGTGTATATATATATATATATATATATATATATATATATATATATATATATATAAGTATTTTATTTATTTGGGAAAGTTATCAGGCTAAGTTGAATGGTAATACATTAATAAATGTAGTTTATTTTTCCTACCTACCTATAGTTGTAATCCAGCATTAAGGTCATGATACCTTATTTTCTCACAAGTAGAAAAACAGTGAAAGTTCCCTGAAAGAGCAATGTGAGCTTGTTATAAACCTCTTCCTTTCCAGCATTGTTTATATACCGGTTAAACAATACAAAATGAAATTTAGCCATGAAAACCATCTACATACCAGTTTGCTCCAGTGATGTTATCAACCTGCGGAGAAATATGTTTCAATATTAGGACTCCATTCCTTTTGCGTTTTTGACGAGGGGCTGCAAACGTCTTTACCCCTCCCTTCTTGCACACTGTAGCAGCCTTTGTAGGTCAAACTTCGTGGCTGTATAGCCAGAATAGTGATTAGGAGGGCTTCTGAGCGCACTGTGTACGTCACGGGGATTCTTTGCAGACTCTAATGTTAATTTGGCTATTTTGCGGAAACACTTTTATGTTTTATGCCTTACCTTCTCTGTTGGGAGACTACTTTCTAATAACTAATTGCACGTTTTCTGTCTGCAAAACAAATTTTCCCCTGTGCATGCAATCTATTACCATTGGATCCTTGTATCCTTTCCCTTTGGAACATATGATCTATTTTTGTACATTGATAAATTCTTTAAAATGTATTTGAATATAATGCTGTCTTGAGTTTCGGTTGGCGGTGAGTATTCTTTATTTTATTCCCAGTTCTGAGCCATCCTGCCTTCCCAGGAAATGTGAAATACTGCTAGAAGATGCCAGGTCCTTCTTTGTAAAATCCTTTTTTGAGCAGCGATTGGTAATCAGTCGGCAATGACATGGTAATTACATTGGTAAGCCTGTGGCTCTGTGCAGAAGGCTCTCCTGTTGAAGCATGCATCTGTGGTTCTGATGAGCTAATGCCAGGGTGCTATCCTCTCGAGTTTTATGAACCGCAAACACACTATTGTAATGAACAGTTCCACATTTCTCTATATGGTATTTCTTAACACAATCACTGTGAATAATGACATTCTTGTTTCCACCCATCGGGGGTTTTGTTGCTTGAGACACTTGTTATTTCTTCTGCTTTTGTGAAAAAGACTTGATGTTTTCCATTTTTCTTTTGAACGAGAGGACCAGAGAAACAGGAGAAAGGAGGACAAATTAATTACAGCCTTGAGTTAATTAGCAAAAGCACATATATTTTTATTTCAAGAAGAAAGGGGAAGAAGTGTCAATAATTCGGTAAAATAAATAAATAAAACAACAATACAGAAAAAAAAATTATATATCTCCTTCTTACTCTTTTCATGATAAACACCTGCGCAAGGCTGCGTAGTCTGTAATTATCATCGCTGTGAAATAGCCCTAAAGGTGTGAAGTTATTAGCTACATTTTGAAATATTTACATATCAATCAGGACAAATTGGCAGAGCTGTGAATGATTTGTGACAAGTCTTTTGTACAACGCACAGATCTTTAAAACCAGCCCGCATGTTGGATGAGTGAGATGATGAGAACTAGCTGCAAAATAAGCACAGTTTTTTTTCTTTTTCTTTTTCATCACCAGCCTCACACTAGCTAAAAAACCTCTCTCATAGTCATGTAAACAGATACTTTGTATCCGAATAATAATGCTACATAACAAGTACATGGAAAAGCAAGGAGGGACATGTTTTAGAAAATATGTATTGCACTGCTGCAAGTTTCTCTGACTTTGTGAATACTCCAGACATGTACAGCCGGCTGGGGCCTGGCAAAATATTACTCAACAATCGTATACAGGAAATCTGACTTGACACAACTTGACACAACTTGACACAACTGTGTATAAGCCAATATTAGCTGTATCTGTGGAGGGTCAGCGGTCTCGTGGGATCCTCCATACAAATCAATGCTGTACTCTCGCACTTGGTGAGAGTACATCATTGACATTGGCTCCTGGCATTGAACTTCCAGGAGTAGAAGAGGACTATCCGGAAGAAGATGGCGGCACCCACGAGGAACAGGTTCAGGTAAGTACATTTCACCTTTCCCTGATCCCCAGGTCACCTGATCACCAGCGGCAATATCGCTGTCAGAGGTCTTTGCAAATTATATAAAGTCTGCATACGGTGACAGTGGCACTTTAAGTACCAAATACATAACAAAGTGAGTGAGTGAGTTCAAATCATTAACAAAGTCAAGACGGAGTTGTTTTTCTAGCTCTTCTGTTTAGAACAACATTTGCAATTCTGCCTTCCAAATTACCACATTATCGTCTCTCCTCGGAGTGGTGCAAAAGTTGTTTGGACAATATAAAAGAAATATGGTTACTTACTAAGCTCTGAACTGCAAACGGCAGTTAAAGTAGCTTAATTGGATGTAAAAATTAAACTTGAGGTACTTTAAAATTATATTATGCATAAATGTGTCTGTTATCTGTGAATTTGCAAATTTAATCTCTGGCAATTCAGGAATTTTGAAAGATAATTTGGATTTACAGTAAAATGGATCCTTAATATATTAATATGGAGGCCTTTTGCTCACTTCATTTTGAGTGAACTGAATTCCCAAATAAAGAGTTCCCATCTCATGCATAAGAAATTAATTTACTAGTGTGATCGGAGGGACAGTTAAGCCTAACCTTAACGGTAACAAGATAAATTATAGCTAAAGATGTATTTTTAATATAGTCTTCCAGGTGTAAGAATATAATCTATTATTTATGTGTTTATTTATTAATTCATTTTGTGGAATCGTTACTTGATATTTATTTATTTTTTTAAGGAACTCAGTTTCCATGGGTAAAACATATAGTATTGGTGGTACATTAAAAAATTTAAAGGTTTACTTTTTTATTTTTATTTTTTATTGAGAATTAGCTCTGCCTAAACCTTCCTCATTAGCCCAAGCAGCACAGAGAGGATGGGTTGCTGGGTACTCTTGTTTAGCATCAAAATATGCAGAATGGAAAAACAGTGCAAAGGGACTACAGACACTCTAACTACCTTGATAAGATAAAGCAGTTATGGTGCCTACAGAGTCTCTTTAAGCTCACTTTAGCTAGCCTACAGCACACTCCTTTTTGCCACCCTAGGTAAAAAATACTTTGCCGCCACCTACTCATGCAGAATAACACACATGCTGACTCAAATATAAACACACACTGATCCATGCAAACTAACGCACATGCACTGACCCATATACACACTCTGACCCATGCAGAGACACACATACAGACATACACTGACCCACACAGACACTCTCTTACCAATACAGACACACACTGACCCATGCAGACACACACTGACCCATGCAGACACACAATGACCCATACAGACACACACTTACCTATACAGACACACACTGACAAATGCAGACATACACATACAGACACACACTGACCTATACAGACACACACTAACTCATGCAGACACACACATACATACACTGTCTTGCCCATACAGACACACACTGACAGATAAAGACACACACTGCACACACTGACCCATACAAACACAAACAATGACCCATACAGACACACACAATGATCCATACAGACACACACTGACCCATGCAGACAAGCAATAACCTATGCAGACATGCAATAACCAATGCAGACACACACTGACCCATACAGACACACAATGACCAATACAGACTGACATTCACAAACATACTGACTGAAGCAGACTAACGCACATTCTCTGACATCTTACATCTATGCTCATCTTGCCTGCGCCTGGCGGCCCATCACTTCCTGTCTCAGCCCAGCCTCTGCTATTCTCCCACCCACTTGCTCCCACGTACAGGGGAACGGGCGGGAGAAAGCAATTAAAACACCCTTTGCGCTGCTTCAGCATTGGATGCCTGGGAGGGGGCCTGGCTCTTAGGGCTGACGTGAATGCCGCCAGATCGATGTTCTACCAGGCGCTAGTGAGCAGCAATGCCCGGTAACATGGCCGACGAACAAAAAAAAATAGAGGGCTGGCGCAAACTTGATCATAAAGTCAGAGCCGGTGCCCCCTCTTAAGCAGCGCCCTAGGCTGCCGCCTAGTTGGCCTATAGGAAGTGCCGGCCCTTCTCATCACCTATGTATCACTGAATTTAGTACTTCATGGGCTTAGAGATGAAATTGTTGATGGGCCTTACGAAAGAAACTGAATTTCCATTACCAATGTCCTCTATTGCTATTCCATAACGGCCTCTTAAATCTCACTCCTGTGTGAGTGCAATGTTACATATCAGACTATGAGGCTGAGTATACAGTACAGAGAGGTCATTAATACTTTTTTAAAATACAGTTTGATGAGAAGGGCAGTAATCCACTCTATCAACAGCTACCTATTTCATAATAAATAAATGAAAAAAATGAAGATTTAAAATGAGGCTGCTTTGAACGCAGTAGCCACTTTGTTATTTAATTGCCTGCCCCATAAAGAGGATACCCGATATTCTATCCAATCTTTTAAAATAAGAAAGAAATACCGATCTCCAGCCAAGTGATGCACACACAGTATAGAATCCTTCAGGGTCCAGAACAGCAAAGGTGTGATAATTGTTCAAGCTCATATACTCCTACTCTTTCTATAGGTCTGTGCCCACTTCAATCATAATCTCCCCGATAAAGTGGGTGCAGACATTCGAACCTTGTAGGACAAGAGGAGCCTGAATGATTACCATACTGTTGCTTTGTTGGATTCCATACTGTGTGTGTCCACCGTTTAGTTACAGCGTGCGACTGGCAGATGATTGTGACGGAAAGTGGATATACCTACTATTAAGATCAATGCTTATCTATTGGCATGGATATTTTGACTACCTTATATTGGGGGACTTCACCTGTTGTTCACAGAGAGGTTTCAATAAATGCTACACTATGGGAAATTCTGTTTGTGCTTTTTTAGGTTGCATTTCACTTTAAGTCACAGTAAGTGCCAAATACATTACAAAGTGAGTGAGTGAGTGAGTTCAAATCATCAACAAAGTCAAGACAGGATTGTTTTTCTAGCTCTCTTGTTTAGAACAAAATGTGCAATTCTGCCTTGCAAATTACCACATTATCCTTTCTCCTCTGAGTGGTGCAAAAGTAGTTTGGACAATATAAAAGAAACATGGTTACTCACTAAGCTCTGAATTGCAAACGGCAATTAAAGTAGCTAAATTGGATGTACAAATTAAACTTGAGGTACTTTAAAGTTATATTTATGAATTTTTATGAATGAAGAGCTGCTGATTGAATTAGTGTTGGCTGACAGCTCAAAGCCAGTCAATAGCACCACTTTGTGATGCTGCCTGAGCCTTCGGTTCTGAAGAATTTCAAAAGTAGGACATGTGTACCCTCCATTGTACAGCGCTACAGAATCTGATGGCGCTATATAAACAATAAAATAATAATAATAAAATAATGTGGGCAGAGCAAACTGGTGCTGGAGCGCCAATTTTGGGGTTAAACCAATTGTGAGCAGTTTAAAACCTAAATGGGAACACCTAGCACCATCAATTTAATTTTGAAGTAGTTATGTTGCCCAGCATGTTCCTTTAAACATATGTGTGCAGAGGCAGGAGTCAAAATGTATATACAGCCTCCCTACATAACAGACAAAGTCACCCCACATACAACCAACATGGTCACTGCTCACACCGTATAGAAACATCCCACACACACACAAACTAACCCCACACACATTACCTACCAACACAACCTCCTCACATACACAGCACCAGATGCTGCCTCTGTATACTTTCTGCCTTTCTCATAAATGCTTGCAGATTCCTCCACATAAAACCTTCAACACGTACATTGCAGCCTCTGCACACCGAGACTGGTGGAAAGAAACTGAAAAATTCAAGTAAGGATGAAAAAGACTGGTGAGAGGGAGATTTGCAATGAAGAAAATGGAAAGACACTAGG